AAAAAGTTGAAACTTTCATGTTATATTCCAGTTTGGTAGCATTACATTTGATTGGCTAATTTAATTATTTTCCTTTTTGTTCTAAAGCAGGCATGTAGAGGATAAATGAAACATTTAAACATTTTTTAAAGAAACAAATGATTAATAATTATTTTAACAGAAATCCATAGCAAACTTAGGGAACTGGAATTATGTTTAAAGTAATTACTCATTAATAATAATCCCTCTAAGCAGTGTTCCTGCGTATTTGTACACTGCTCAGGCATTTTCACACATGACATTATTTGTCATCATTTATAAGGATGTGTAGAACTAAAGATAGAAGTCAATTAATAAATAAATTCAGTTAATGTATGTATGTATGTATTACATGAATATAAATAAATAGAATAATTGTCTCATGTAAAACACAGATGCACAACAACACGAACCTCATCTCCTCCAGCTCCTTTTCATGGGATGTTTTCATCTGGGTCAATCTGCTGCAAAATACAACAAATAAAAACTTCCCATAAGACAAATATTGCAGGAACATTATGGCATGTAGTGCCGTTCTCTAGTTTTCTGGCACAAATTAGAAAGAATTAATCAATTTATTCAAATAAGAATTGAAAAAGTTTGAACAATCATCAGACAGTAAATGATCTTGCTGTGTGAACAATACCTTTTATTAAGTGATTCTAGTTCATCTTCTTTCTGTTTAAGCTCAGACCTGAACAATGAAGAATACATATTTCTATCAAAAATTAGAAAGAATTAATCAATTTAGAAAATAAGAATTGAAAAAGTTTGAACAATAATCAGACAGTAAATGATCTTGTTGTGTGAACAATACCTCTTATTAAGTGATTCTAGTTCATCTTCGCTCTGTTTAAGGTCAGACCTGAACAATGAAGAATACATATTAGGAAATCATCACTGTGCATATATATTGCAACCCAGCCCCAACAAAATCTGGGTAAAATAACTTTTATATTATATACCATAAATTTACCAGGAATTCTGTCTGACAAAGGTCCAACTTAGCAGTGTGTCTATGAAATTAAAACTGGATCCTTGGACCCTGGGATTATAGGAAGTACCCCACATCCTCCTCAACATTTCAGATCATATCCATGTGATTTGGTCACATGAAAATCAACTATGAAAAAAAAACTTCACTTGATGGAAGTGTTTTTCAAGAGACGCAATTTTGTGGAAAATACATTAAAAATAGCCTTTACTACGGCAAATTTGGAGTCCAATCTCAGAAACTAATGAGTGAATTGAGACTCAGTTAGGTTAAAATAAGTGGTAATGATAATGATATTCAATTGTTATAATAACTGTAATGTTTTCTTTCAGATTGTGACATTACTTTTGTTTTACTGACCTCAGTTCTTCTTTTTTCCTGTTTTCAAGGGAAATATGAGAAACATATTTAATGATTATTTGATCTCAGAAGAGATTTGATACAGTGAAGTAAATATCACAGATGTTTCAATAGTCCATGGTCTTTCTACCCCCCTTGGAAGGAATTATTTGAGTCTCACTGAGCAAGAGGAAGCCTCCACCAGATCTGTTCAAGCCCACTTCAGGAAACCCGGTGACAGTCCGTTTCATTGCTCCTCTGGACCCAACGCAAGTCTGCTTGTCCACCCTCCAAAACCCTCGTTGAGGTCAACCAGCAGACCAAGTTAAACAGACGAGTGTTTAATTTAACTGAAGTTATTTGTTTCACTTGTCTCCAGGCTCCCGGCCCGGCCGGCGAGGTTGCCCCGCCTCAAGCAACTCAAACCCCTGTTTTTTTCCTCTTTTTCTGAGTGCCAGCTGCCCAGTCCACCCAGGTTCGATGGGGACCCCAAGAAGTGCCGGGGTTTCCTCATGTACTGTATAATCCAGTTCAACCATGCTCCCAGTAAGTTTTTTTGCTTTCTTCCAAGAGTTCTTATATAATCTCCCATCTGACAGACCAAGCTTTGGACTGGGCAGAGGTGAGATTTTCTGCTACTCCTGATTATGGTTGCACCTTTGAAGAGTTTCTATCTGAGTTTAAGCAGACCTTTAATCAGGACCCAGATAAGACTCCGGAGACCTGTTGAAGC